GGGGGGGTGCGGGGCAGGGGTGTTAACCATCATCACTCTGGACTTTGGATTCTTTTAGGGGCTTCACTTTTAGTTCTTTCTTTTGCTTGTTATCTGCCCCTCCGTCCTTGTCTGTCGCTGGTTTCTCCATTCTCTAGAAGATTAAAATCCATAGGAACTTTTTTTTTTTTGTATGGCAAGTTATGGGAGAGTCAACACTATGGATCGTGTTCAATGACACTCTTCCTTCGTGCTGCTCCCACAGTGGTGCATGCTTTGTAGGTGTTAGTTAGAGGACTTGCATCACTTATTGTGGGGATGTCAGTATGTTCACTCTTTGGTCGTAGTGGTTAAGCTCTTTCAGTTTACGTTTTGCGTGGAATTGTCGACGTTTATACTATGATTGAGAAGCTGTCCTCAATTTTTTGTTTTTTGTTTTTTTGCTCTTTGGTAGGGGCATTTGTCTCAGGAGAAACAATAGATTCTTTAGAGGGGAGGAGAGGTCATGAGACTAGGTTTGGGAGTTGGTGCAATTTAATGCTTCATTGTGGGCGTGGGTCACTAGGCCTTTGTGTAATCATTATCTTGGTTTGATTTTGTTGGATTGAAGTCCCATTCTTGTAGGTTGTTTTTTCGGTTTCCTTTTTGTTTGGCTTGTTCTTTTTGTATGCACTTGTATATTCTTTCATTTTTCTCAATGGAAGCCCAGTTTCTAAAAACATAAAAAGAAAACTTAGTGTTGCTTACACCTTTATCTGGGATATATCTCAGTACAATCTATCTTACAGAGTTTACTTTAGATTGGGTTTTTAGCTTCCCAAATTTATTGGTTTAGGAACAACCAGGCCTTGTATTTCGCTAGCTCTCCAATTATATCTGAAGAAATTGTTTCCGTCTAACCTTCTTTGGAAGGCATATTCCCAAGTTTACTTGGTGTTGTTGAGCTGTCAGTGTAGAAGGCCTGGAGAAGAGCTTGAACATCTGGCGAAGACACATAAAAGAGGAAGAGAGGGTGAATTTCAAATTTTATTACAGCTTCTAAAGGTGGATTTCTCTAGGTACTTGAAATTAGGAGAGAATGTCTTTTGAACTCCTCTGTGGGGTTCTGGTTAAGTCGGTTTTATTGGTCTTGGTCAAAACCTCTGGAAAGATGGGGAGATTAAGAAGCTTACACCATTATTACATATTATCATAGCCAAAAGCTGATGGATTTGCTAGTTTGGCTGCTGTATGGTGGATGGTGGTGGTCTCCATAGTATCTAGTCATTGTTTTTTTTTCTAGGAAATCTTGCTTTTGGTAGCATTACAGATGATTATTGCAAATATCACCCAATAAGAAACATCCTAATTGCTCTCTCCCCCAATTAAGCTCCTGTGACAGATAATGGGAGACATAGAATCATGTGAGTCTCCGTTGCCTTGTTACCCATTGTTTTTGGTGTGGATAGATAGATTAGACCTCTTCCAGTGCCTCGTTGTCAGTACTACGACTAGATCAGTTACACACAGGTTAGCCTTTCCAAAACAAAGCAAGGGGCTGGATCGTGCTATGAAGCACCTTTTAGGGAAGTTTGGCTGGAAAGTAACTAATGAACATTTCACAATTCTTCTTGGGAAGAGGATATTTGGGAGACTGTTAAATACAGAGCTTCCCTTTGATGTATTTATTTAGACACACCAATGTTCAATAGAAGTATCTGCTCATGTGCGCAGACATACATATATTGATACTTAGGTAATACGTTTTGTTGCTTCTGACTGTTTTATATGTAAAAACAAGAGATGCAGGACTACATTTTAACGCTGTATGTTCATTCTTTTGCAGATGATGGACAAGATGTAGATGTAGATGGCTTGCCTAATGAGGGTGTAGAGATCACTTGCTTTGATATGGTAATGTCAAATTTAAGGATTTAATAATAATAATGAGCTTAGACTTTTCTTGGATGCCTTTCTTCTACTTGGAAGCTTTAAGCCTCTTTTTTGTAGTCTATGTTTTTGTTTCCTTATTTTAGAATATGTTTAAATTGTTACGAAGTATCAAAATAATGGCATTTCATAAAACAGGGAGCGTAGTGTACAATAACCAAGATCTTTCTAATCTGGGTTCTTATTTTCATTCAGACGGTAAAATGTCACATCGGTTGGAGAGGGGAACAAAACATTCTTTAAAATCTCTCTCTAGCCGACACATTTTAAAACCGTGAGGAAAAACCCAAAAGGAAAAGTCTAATGAGGACAATATCTGTTAGTGGTGGACTTGGGCTATTACAAATGGTATCAGAGCCAGACACCGGGTGGTGTGTCAGCAAGGACGCTAGTCCCCCAAGGGGAGTGGATTGTGAGATCCCACATCGGTTAGAGAGGGGAATGAAGCATGCTTTATAAGGGTGTAGAAACCTCTCCCTAGCAGACGTGTTTTAAAACCTTGAGGGGAAGCCCGAAAGGGAAAGCTCAAAGAGGACAATATCTGCTAACAGTGTACTTGGGCTGTTACACATACTATTCGAAGTTTCATCTTAGCTTTTATATTTTAAACTGGCTTCTAAAGGATTAGAGCATTTGTATAAATAAAAACTGAAGGCGATGCTTGAGAAGCCTTTTTTAACCTCAGTAATTACAATGTTCTAATCCTTAATTATTTTTCAAGTACTGGTAAACAAATATATTCCGAGGACAGAGCATGCATTTGTGGTTGCAGTAACATTATGTTACTTGTTAGTTGATAGTTGATTCAACTTTCCGTTGCTTGATTGCGGTATATTCTCACGATTTAGATTTCCAGTCATCATCTATATCATATTCACTTCTAACTAGTTCTTTTATTCTACAAAATGCATCTTGCAAATTCTTTTTTTTTTTTTTTTTTTACACTTCCCTTTTGATATATAAAAATTATGACTGAATCATTCTATGAACATTATTTCTCTAGATAGCTGAAGATCCTGAGCAGGTCTTCTCTGTTTCATATTGTTGAAATATGCGATTTTAATGCGTGGTTATTGTACTCTTTTTGTGGGGTGCAGGATGGAGCACATTACATGATTTATACGCCATCTGATCCGCTTCTTTTTGTTGCTACGAAGGTACCTATGAATTAGCTATAACTATGCCATATTACACTCGAATTAAAGCAGTGTTGTTTTTGTTAGAATCTCCCTTTAAACACTATGATGTTAAATGCATGGTGCTTGGTATCGTTTTTCCAAATCAAATGGTGTTAGGCGGCTGCTCCTGCATCTATTGAGCGATGACTAATCAAGTGTATCAACCCATTTGTTTATGCAGGACAAGCTTGGCCAACTAACAATTGCTGATGATGTAAGTTATTTCGTACGTTTTATGAACACTTCCTTGTCTGGTCGTATTCTGTAGCTTGGAAAACTAGTGCATATGGTCGGTGTGCTTTAAACATCTTTATGAAAAGAAAAAAAAAACAATGATTTCTGTCATTCCGACTGGTGGAAGAGTAGCTTTGAGGTTGGCTGATCCTTATCCTGCATTTTGGCTTTCGGTCTTTCATGCAAAGTTTAAGAAATGAATAGATTTATAATGAATTCGGGGATCATATGTATAAGTGGGAGTAGGGATATAATGGCCCAAGCCCACCGTGTGCAGATATTGTCTTCTTTAGGCTTTTCTTTTCAGGCTTCCTCTCAAGGTTTTTAATACCCGCCTACTAGGGAGAAGTTTCTACACCCTTATAAAGAACGTTTCGTCCTCCTCCCTAATTGATGTGGGATCTCACAATCCACCTCCCTTCGAGGCCCAGCATCCTCACTGGCACTCATTCCCTTCTCCAATTAATGTGGGACTAGAATCCACCCCCAATCGGGCCCCAGCTTCCTTGTTGGCACACCGCCTCGTGTCCACTCCCTTCGAGGCTCAGTCTTCATTGGCACATCACTTGGTGTCTGGCTCTTATACCAACTGAAACGGCTCAAGCCCACCACTAGCAAATATTGTTCTTTTTAGGCTTTCTCTTAAGGACTTCTCCTCATGGATTTTAAAACACGTATGCTAGGGAGAGGTTTCCACACTCTTATAAAGAATGCTTCGCTCTCTTCCCCAATCGACGTGGGATCTCACAACAATTGATTTAAGTGTATTCTGAATATTGTTGGAAACAGGAGCTATTGGAGGACCCAGCAACTATCAGTGCCATAGACGAAGAGACTGAATTTAACGCACTGGTGGTACGTGAAATGTGTGGTTTAGTAAAAATAGAGATTGTTTATAATGTAATGGCTTGTTTTGTTTTGTTATGTTATGTTATGTCTGCAGGAAGAGGAGGCTGCTCTTCTTGAATCAGTTTTAGGGAAAGAATAACCAACCCACCACAGCTTCAACTGGAGAACACTACGTATAGGTACGTAGCATTTGTAATAATAAACACTAAATTGGGCTCAAACCTGCCTGCTCATTTGAGTTTCATATTTTAGTACGAAAAATGATCAATACTGTTTTTTTTTTTTTTTTTTTTTTTTTTTTTTTTTTTTTTTTTTTTTTTTTTTTTTTTTTTTTTTTTTTTTTTTTT